AAATGAAGAAATAATCTAGTCTGTGTGATGGTGTGCCAGGCTCCAGGCCTAAGGTATAAGTCCTACAAGACCAGACTTCCTGCCAGGTCAAGCTGGACCCTCCTGAGGTGTTTAAAGGAGGTAGGGCCTTGGCCAGTGTGGCTCAGTTAGTTGAGGGTCTTACCATGCACCAAAGATCACCAGTTTGAGTCCCATCAGAATCAAACATGCCTAGGTTACGGGCTCCATGCCCAGTTGGGGGCATGCAGGAGGCAGCCGGTCGATGATTCTCTCTCATCATGGATGTTTTTATCTCTCTCCCTCTCCCTTCCTCTCTCTCTAAAACAAAATCAATAAATTTTAAAAATTTAAACTGATGGGGTCAACACTCTACCAGGCCTGGGTTGCCATACCCACCTGACTTTCTGCAGGTTACCAACCTTGGGGTCAAACTTTTCACAAAGCAATCCCCATCTCTTGGCCTTGACCTAAAATACAAGAGAGAGGCAAGACCAAGAGATGGGGACTTCTTTGTCAAAAGTTTAATCCCAAATTAAATGGCCCTGTCATTTTGCAGGCTGAGGCACAGGCAGGCCCCATCCATCTTCCCTGGAGGCCACGTCCCCTTCGTGGCAGGGCCATCTCTCATCCAAACATCTTCATCCCCTGAATATGCATTCTGAACCCTCTAGCTTCCTTCTCTACTTCCCATGGGACCACAAAACCCACAAAGGTTAGTTCTAGCTCTAGGGCTAACTGCCAGTCGCTACCCAGATAGGGATCAGGCTGAGGTCAGTCCCAGACTGAGCCATGAAGGCAAAAACTAGGATTTATTCCTAATATAAGTCATGGGTCTCACACCTGACTGAGCCCTGACTCTAGTCACAGACTGAACCCTGACCCTGCTCACATGCTAGTCCTCAACCTCCTCACATGTTAAGCCCCTACCCTGCTCACACACTGAACCTGGAACTTTATTTAGAGACAGACCATTAATTTGTCATACGGCCAAAGTTATTTCCCTGTCTCTGCACCTCAGTTTCCTCATTTTTCCACTGGCAGGCCTTGGGAGGGGCTGAGCACTAAAATCAGAAAATCCGAGAGAAACCAAGATGGCGGCATAGGTAAACACCGAAGTTTGCTGCCTCGAACAACCACTTCAAAAATACAACTAAAAGACGGAACGGACATCACCCAGAACCACAGGAAGGCTGGCTGAGGAGAGATTCTTCAACTAGAAGGAAAGAGAACAGCATACCGAGGCTCAGAGGAGGCGCAGTGTGGAAAATACAAAGGTACAGAGGTTCTCATGGAGCGGGCTGGCGGCTGAGGGCGCTGTTGTCGTTTTCAATCAGGAGGGAGTCTCAGACTCTGAGCTCCAGATCCAGGCAAGTCTCTAGGGACCCAGACTCAAACGGGAGAAGCGGGACTGTCTGGCATCGGTCAGAACTCGAGGGCAGCTTTCTCTCCAAGGTTTGCAGTGGGTGCTGGGACTCTGAGAAGCAGAGCCTCTGGGAACGGGACTGAGAGCAGCCATAACTGCTCCCTTCGCCCGCCCTGTTGATCCCGTGCAACCAGCCCTGCCCAAGCCCTGCGCAGAGCCATTTGCCGGATAGCCTCAGGCAAAGGCTAGATTAGCACCTCTCCGGAGGACAGAAGTTTTCCCACTGCAGACACAGCTGATTCTCATAGCCACCTACAGTCTCTGTCATGTCCATACATGTGTTTTCTCCACAACTGTAAATTAAATGAGGGGAAAGGCAAGTTTTGTTGACTTTTTTTCTTAATGCACTTTAATGACCTTACAGAAAGAAGCCATACCATGCATCTTCCAATCTGGATCACTAATGAGAATAAAAACACACATGAAGCACTTACTCCAGCACCAAGCATCTTCCTATAAGTTTACATGCATTAATTCAACTCTCACAACAACTGAAATGAACAGGCTTTGCTATGTTCCCCCCTTTCACATGAGGAAACTGCAGCAAAGAGAAGTCACTTGCTCGAGGCACACAGCTAATAAATACATGGCAGATTAATAATAGATACTCATTGGTTACATAATACATGAAACCCTGGCTGGGATTTATGTCTTCCTCGTAGTTGTGATCAAGGTATACTTATTTTATGTTCCTTGCTTGATATATTTGGTTTATTCATGCCCCTATTTGGATGGCCATTTCTTAAGGATCTGTGCAGGATAAGGACACTGAGGAATAGAAAGGTCAGTCCTCCACTACTGAGGACTGGCTGCGGAGGATTCTGGAGTTTTTATGGGGCTGCTATTATTCTGCAGGATCTCTCCTCCCTATAACCACCTCCACGCGGCTCTCCTTGCTTTTCTCACTTAGCAGACAGGAACATGTAACTCTCCCCCTTGCCTGGGTAAACGGGGGCTCTACCTCCTGATGGCACAGCAGCTTCTCTTCTGACCTCTGTTTCAGCAACACAGGCACCAGATCCATATGCTTTCCTAATGGATAAAAAGGGACCAATGACCCTCCACAACGAAACTACCAAGTTCTTGACTGTATATCCAAGGACCATAACACTTGCTCTGCTAAGGCAGGGGCTACTCATAGTATATTAATCTCCACCAAAAATCAGAGTGTGGCCCTAGCCAGTTTGGTTCAGTGGATAGAGCGGTGGCCTGCGGACTGAAGGGTCCCAGGTTCGACTCTGGTCAAGGGCACATCCCTGGGTTTCGAGCTTGATCCCCAGTAGGGGGCATGCAGGAGGCAGCCGATCAATGATTCTCCCTCATTATTGATGTTTCTATCTCTCTATCCCTCTCCCTTCCTCTCTAAAATCAATAAAAATATTTTTTTTAAATCAGAGTGTGAAATAAATAAATAAATAAATAAATAAAATAAAATCAGAAAATCCTTATTCAAAGGTTGCCCTGTATCTCCTCTGACCGGCAACAAAGAAGAGCATCAGCTGCTGCCACCTGCCAGCCCCCACTCCTACCCAACACTTTAGCCCAAGTATCACTAATTTTTATAGCCTTTGTAATCAATGGTATTGTTGGCAAAATGACATCTTTCTAACCTGCTGCAGGTCTGATGGGTCCCCAAGCTCACTCGTTCCCTATCCAGCCTGCGCAGCCCAGGCACAATACCCCAGGCCTTGGGAGGGGGGACCTCAGGCCGAGTCAGGTATGACCTGTGGGTTTTTTGACAATCCCCTTTTAAAAATACTCAGGTGTGTGTGTGTGTGTGTACTTTTTTTTTATCGCTTAAAGTATTACAAAGAGTATTACATATGTCTCCTTTTTTTTTTCTCCCCTTGACATTCCCCCGGGCTCCCCTACCCCCCAGTGTCTTATGTCCATTGGTTATGCTTATATGCATGCATACAAGTCCTTCGGTTGATCTCTTAACCCCCTTCCCGCCCCCCTGTGTGTGTACTTTTAATACTCCAAAGATATTCTCTGCTCCTTTCTGGCCACCAAAGTTGTTCAATTGAATTTTCATTTTCTTTTTTTAATATATTTTTATTGATTTCAGAGAGGAAAGGAGAGGGAGAGAGAGATGGAAGCATCAATGATGAGAGAGAATCATTGATCGGCTGCCTCTTTCATGCCCCCTACTGGGGATTGAACCCGAAACCTGGACATGTGCCCTTGACTGGAATCAAACCTGGGACCCTTCAGTCTGTAGGCCAACGCTCTATCCACTGAGCCAAAACAGCTAGGGCCAATTTTCATTTTCAATTAAAGCCTGAATATTTCTCAGATTCATAAGGATGAGCCAGAAGACACATCAGAATATTGAGTGGTCCTTTCTCCTGCCTCTCAGCTCTTGGGGCAATGGATGCAGAAGAATGTGCCTCTCCTTGAGCCATGGGGTCTGGGAGACATTTTGCCTTCTCTCCTCTTCCCCCAGCCCCTCTCCCTCCATAATCCACCCTCACTCCTGTCATTGGCCCCAAGCTGCAGAGCAGAGGTAGAAGTCCCCCTCATACCTCCTGTGTCCAGGGAAAGGAGCAAGTCAGAATGGGGGATCCAGATACCAAGAATTAAGGAAGGACAAATACCAGCCCCAGAGACCCCAGCCTCCCCAGAGCTGGCACCTGGCTGCCAAAAGCCAAGTCAGAACCAGTGGGGGCAGTGAGCAAGGCCTGGACTCAGGAGCGAAGCAACGCCGCCCCCTCCTGGCTGGTGTGCGGCTCCTCCTCTAACCAGCACTGCTAGGCTAAGCTTTTGAGGGTGGGGTCATACAAGTGACTCTCCAAAGACAGCATGTGACATGCAGACCCTCCTCTTAGCAGCCTGCTCAGCCCCTTTGCCTCCTCCCTAGGCTGACTGCAGCTTTCAGGCTATGCCCATCCTGCTAACCTTCTCTCTCTGCCCAAAGAATTCTGAAAATACTACATCTTATCTACTGCCCAGTGGGCAAAGCCTGAGTCCACTCCAAGCTGACTACCATCTGGTCCCATTACCAGCCAGCCTCCTGCAGCCTGGGCTTGGGCCCTCTGAGCCTCCCCAGCTCCCTGCCCTGCACCCTTTGGTCCCATCTACTTGCCTTTGCTCTTATCTTTATCACCACCAGGAATACCTTTCCTTCTACACACTGTCTCTGCTTGTTCTCCTGAGTCCCTCCCCCAGGAAAACTCACCTCTCCCCCTTTCCCAACCAGAGTGACCCCTCCATCCTCTATCCCCACCCATTTTCCCTTCTCCCCTCTAAGGTACTGAGCACTGTCAGGATTCAGAGTCACACAGTTCTGGACCTAGAGGAAACTGGATCATCCTCCAGGTCTTCCCCCACCCTCACTGCACAAAATGCAATCCCGAGGCCCAGAGATGGGCGGGAGCTGCACAAGACCACACAGCACGTTAGTGGCAAAGTTAGAACTAGAACTCAGCTCTCTGGAACCTCTGCCCAAGGCTTCTTGAGAACATGTGGCCTCCCCTGGTGAGCCAGAACAGAACTTCTCCAAGACATTGACCTGTAATGCCTCCCAGTATCCCCACCCCTCATCCAGGGCAGGGCCCAAAGGAAGCAGTCATGAACATTTACAAAATGAAGAAATAAAAAAATAAAAATATTTATCTAATACTTTCTGTGTGCTAAACACAGCAAGCACCAGCTCTGCTACTCAAAACCTTGGTAAGTTGCTCATTTTGCTATAGAAAATATCTTCTGTGGGGAGGAGTGAGTGAGTACACCAGGAGGGCCCTCAGTTGTGAATGTCAATGACCAGCGGGCACAGGTAGGGTGAGTGTTTGACACCCATGGTGAAAGCAGGTGTGCGGGGCTTGTGTACTGTAACCAGCTGGACATCATGGGAACCCGGTCCAGGCTGAGGTGTGTGGTCCATTGGGTAGGCAAAGCGCTTGGCCATGCTGTAGATGGGGCTGCGGTTCTGGTAGACAGATGGCTCAGGGCGGGTGTGCATGGCTGGCCCAGGACCTCCTGCCACGTTCTTCTTGTAGAACCAGTTGTTGTCTGCGGAGGCCAAACTATAGCAAGGAGCAGCTCGGTTGATGGGGATGTTGGGCCCCAGCAAGAGTGGCAGCTGGTAGTGGTTGGGGGCCGGGTTGGGGTCCATTACTCTGTATGGGCACCGGTAGCCGAAAGTGTACTGTGGAGCCCTGCGTTCTCCAGGAGGGTGGGTCTTCTCCAAGCAGTAGTGGCAGGAAGCTGGGGTGGAGCTCAGGCCTGAAAGTGGGCGAAGGTGAGGAACTGAGGCCTTGATTAGCCTGATGTGACTTCACTAGAGCCACCTTAGCTTTGGACAGGGAGACTTCCAACCCTACAGGATCTATGGGCAGGTGAGGGACTTAGGCCATCCTGACATAAGAATGTGACACTATTGTCATAATATAAAAACCATGCCCTAGTCAGTGCTCAGTAGTTAGAGCATTGATTGAAGGGTTTCAGGTTCGATTCTGGTCAAGGGTACATATTCAGTTACAGGCTTGATCCCCAGCCCTAGTCAGGGTGTGTGCGGGAGGCAACCAACAATGTGTCTTTCTCATACCGATGTTTCTCTCTCTGTGTCTCTCCCCCTGCCTTCAAATCTCTCTAAAAATCAATGGAGAAAAAAATATTCTCAGGTGAGGATTAACAAAAAGAAAAAACACAAGTGTTATCAGTATGTCACCTTGGGCTGTCAGCATTCTGACATTGTCCCTATGGCAACATCAAGAAAACATTCTGAAATCACTACAGTCCATGAGCTCATTAGCATAGCGATATTGCTGCCCCTATATGAGGCCCCTTGTATCATAACAATCACCCCTGACACATGCATAACATTGGCTTCAGCACATAAGTACTGTGACACAGACATGGTGACATCAGTGTCTTGATGTGACATTGCAGGGAGATGCCAGCATCCACAGACACACCTGGAGAGGAGAGTCATGATCCTTTGACCCCGCTCAGGTCCTAAGGGTAGACCTCCATTCTTCAACCTCCCAATCCCACTCCCCATTCCATCTTACACAGGTTAGAGATGCGTTCCGCCATGGGGATCTGCGGGCAGCTGGACAGTCCAACCCGAGTTATTTTAAATAAATAAATAAATAAATAAATAAATAAAATAAAATCAGAAAATCCTTATTCAAAGGTTGCCCTGTATCTCCTCTGACCGGCAACAAAGAAGAGCATCAGCTGCTGCCACCTGCCAGCCCCCACTCCTACCCAACACTTTAGCCCAAGTATCACTAATTTTTATAGCCTTTGTAATCAATGGTATTGTTGGCAAAATGACATCTTTCTAACCTGCTGCAGGTCTGATGGGTCCCCAAGCTCACTCGTTCCCTATCCAGCCTGCGCAGCCCAGGCACAATACCCCAGGCCTTGGGAGGGGGGACCTCAGGCCGAGTCAGGTATGACCTGTGGGTTTTTTGACAATCCCCTTTTAAAAATACTCAGGTGTGTGTGTGTGTGTGTACTTTTTTTTTATCGCTTAAAGTATTACAAAGAGTATTACATATGTCTCCTTTTTTTTTTCTCCCCTTGACATTCCCCCGGGCTCCCCTACCCCCCAGTGTCTTATGTCCATTGGTTATGCTTATATGCATGCATACAAGTCCTTCGGTTGATCTCTTAACCCCCTTCCCGCCCCCCTGTGTGTGTACTTTTAATACTCCAAAGATATTCTCTGCTCCTTTCTGGCCACCAAAGTTGTTCAATTGAATTTTCATTTTCTTTTTTTAATATATTTTTATTGATTTCAGAGAGGAAAGGAGAGGGAGAGAGAGATGGAAGCATCAATGATGAGAGAGAATCATTGATCGGCTGCCTCTTTCATGCCCCCTACTGGGGATTGAACCCGAAACCTGGACATGTGCCCTTGACTGGAATCAAACCTGGGACCCTTCAGTCTGTAGGCCAACGCTCTATCCACTGAGCCAAAACAGCTAGGGCCAATTTTCATTTTCAATTAAAGCCTGAATATTTCTCAGATTCATAAGGATGAGCCAGAAGACACATCAGAATATTGAGTGGTCCTTTCTCCTGCCTCTCAGCTCTTGGGGCAATGGATGCAGAAGAATGTGCCTCTCCTTGAGCCATGGGGTCTGGGAGACATTTTGCCTTCTCTCCTCTTCCCCCAGCCCCTCTCCCTCCATAATCCACCCTCACTCCTGTCATTGGCCCCAAGCTGCAGAGCAGAGGTAGAAGTCCCCCTCATACCTCCTGTGTCCAGGGAAAGGAGCAAGTCAGAATGGGGGATCCAGATACCAAGAATTAAGGAAGGACAAATACCAGCCCCAGAGACCCCAGCCTCCCCAGAGCTGGCACCTGGCTGCCAAAAGCCAAGTCAGAACCAGTGGGGGCAGTGAGCAAGGCCTGGACTCAGGAGCGAAGCAACGCCGCCCCCTCCTGGCTGGTGTGCGGCTCCTCCTCTAACCAGCACTGCTAGGCTAAGCTTTTGAGGGTGGGGTCATACAAGTGACTCTCCAAAGACAGCATGTGACATGCAGACCCTCCTCTTAGCAGCCTGCTCAGCCCCTTTGCCTCCTCCCTAGGCTGACTGCAGCTTTCAGGCTATGCCCATCCTGCTAACCTTCTCTCTCTGCCCAAAGAATTCTGAAAATACTACATCTTATCTACTGCCCAGTGGGCAAAGCCTGAGTCCACTCCAAGCTGACTACCATCTGGTCCCATTACCAGCCAGCCTCCTGCAGCCTGGGCTTGGGCCCTCTGAGCCTCCCCAGCTCCCTGCCCTGCACCCTTTGGTCCCATCTACTTGCCTTTGCTCTTATCTTTATCACCACCAGGAATACCTTTCCTTCTACACACTGTCTCTGCTTGTTCTCCTGAGTCCCTCCCCCAGGAAAACTCACCTCTCCCCCTTTCCCAACCAGAGTGACCCCTCCATCCTCTATCCCCACCCATTTTCCCTTCTCCCCTCTAAGGTACTGAGCACTGTCAGGATTCAGAGTCACACAGTTCTGGACCTAGAGGAAACTGGATCATCCTCCAGGTCTTCCCCCACCCTCACTGCACAAAATGCAATCCCGAGGCCCAGAGATGGGCGGGAGCTGCACAAGGCCACACAGCACGTTAGTGGCAAAGTTAGAACTAGAACTCAGCTCTCTGGAACCTCTGCCCAAGGCTTCTTGAGAACATGTGGCCTCCCCTGGTGAGCCAGAACAGAACTTCTCCAAGACATTGACCTGTAATGCCTCCCAGTATCCCCACCCCTCATCCAGGGCAGGGCCCAAAGGAAGCAGTCATGAACATTTACAAAATGAAGAAATAAAAAAATAAAAATATTTATCTAATACTTTCTGTGTGCTAAACACAGCAAGCACCAGCTCTGCTACTCAAAACCTTGGTAAGTTGCTCATTTTGCTATAGAAAATATCTTCTGTGGGGAGGAGTGAGTGAGTACACCAGGAGGGCCCTCAGTTGTGAATGTCAATGACCAGCGGGCACAGGTAGGGTGAGTGTTTGACACCCATGGTGAAAGCAGGTGTGCGGGGCTTGTGTACTGTAACCAGCTGGACATCATGGGAACCCGGTCCAGGCTGAGGTGTGTGGTCCATTGGGTAGGCAAAGCGCTTGGCCATGCTGTAGATGGGGCTGCGGTTCTGGTAGACAGATGGCTCAGGGCGGGTGTGCATGGCTGGCCCAGGACCTCCTGCCACGTTCTTCTTGTAGAACCAGTTGTTGTCTGCGGAGGCCAAACTATAGCAAGGAGCAGCTCGGTTGATGGGGATGTTGGGCCCCAGCAAGAGTGGCAGCTGGTAGTGGTTGGGGGCCGGGTTGGGGTCCATTACTCTGTATGGGCACCGGTAGCCGAAAGTGTACTGTGGAGCCCTGCGTTCTCCAGGAGGGTGGGTCTTCTCCAAGCAGTAGTGGCAGGAAGCTGGGGTGGAGCTCAGGCCTGAAAGTGGGCGAAGGTGAGGAACTGAGGCCTTGATTAGCCTGATGTGACTTCACTAGAGCCACCTTAGCTTTGGACAGGGAGACTTCCAACCCTACAGGATCTATGGGCAGGTGAGGGACTTAGGCCATCCTGACATAAGAATGTGACACTATTGTCATAATATAAAAACCATGCCCTAGTCAGTGCTCAGTAGTTAGAGCATTGATTGAAGGGTTTCAGGTTCGATTCTGGTCAAGGGTACATATTCAGTTACAGGCTTGATCCCCAGCCCTAGTCAGGGTGTGTGCGGGAGGCAACCAACAATGTGTCTTTCTCATACCGATGTTTCTCTCTCTGTGTCTCTCCCCCTGCCTTCAAATCTCTCTAAAAATCAATGGAGAAAAAAATATTCTCAGGTGAGGATTAACAAAAAGAAAAAACACAAGTGTTATCAGTATGTCACCTTGGGCTGTCAGCATTCTGACATTGTCCCTATGGCAACATCAAGAAAACATTCTGAAATCACTACAGTCCATGAGCTCATTAGCATAGCGATATTGCTGCCCCTATATGAGGCCCCTTGTATCATAACAATCACCCCTGACACATGCATAACATTGGCTTCAGCACATAAGTACTGTGACACAGACATGGTGACATCAGTGTCTTGATGTGACATTGCAGGGAGATGCCAGCATCCACAGACACACCTGGAGAGGAGAGTCATGATCCTTTGACCCCGCTCAGGTCCTAAGGGTAGACCTCCATTCTTCAACCTCCCAACCCCACTCCCCATCCCATCTTACACAGGTTAGAGATGCGTTCCGCCATGGGGATCTGCGGGCAGCTGGACAGTCCAACCCGAGTTATTTTAGGATTCAGGAAATAGCAAGGCCCAGGGTTGCATATGTCCATTATCCCTGCAAGGCAGCCACAGAACTCAGTCAGTCCCAGAGTCTGTCCCCAGGTGAGACCCTCCTCCCCAAGAAAGGAGCAAAGGGTTCCTTCTCAATTCCTCAGGTTCTTGGGTGTTTTGGGAACTTTGATTTCCTCATCTGTAAAATGGGGCTTTTAACATTCTCAAGAACTTGTCCAGAGGGACAGCTGCATAGCAGCTTAGCCCACTAGTCAGTGATGGTGCCAAGGGGTCATAATAGGCACAGTGGCTATTGTTAGTTTTAAAAAGGGGCTCAAAATAAATAAACTGATGAACAAAATAGGTCCATAGGCATGGATGCATGGGACAGACTTGAGAGACCTCAGAGGGCAGGAGGGAGGGGGAAAGGGAAGAGATTAACCAAAGAACATATATGCATAGCCCATGGACACAGCCAATAGTATGGTGAAGGCCTGGGGAGGGATGGGGACTGGGTGCAGGGAAGCAAAGGGTGGGGGAATGGGGAATATCGGTAATATTGTCAATAATAAAAAGGGGGCCCAGCCTCAGTTATGGGGGTACCCTGCTGAGGTGAATATGTCACCCCAGGAAGGGGTCTGGCAGGCACCCGAGATCTCAGACCCCAAGATACATACTCCTGCCCAGGCTCTCCTCTTGCTGGCCTTGGCCAGCAGTTCCAGCTCTTTTGTGATCCAATGCTCCTACCCTTACAGGGGGTTCCAAGCCACCTGGAAAGCCTTAGAGGCCACCATTCCCACCACTTTCCCCCAATCTCCAGCTATTCCTGCCCAGCTGCTATGGCAAGTGAATCCATAATAGCCAGAACTGAAGGGTTCCAGCCAACGACCAGACAGAAAGGAGACCCTGCTCTGCCAGCTGGACAGTGACAGCATCCCTCTAAAGCTCCCTCGGGAGGTCCAGTTGGGAGATGCCCGCAGAGTTGCCTTCAGAGGTGTGGGTCACTTGGGCATCCCTGCTGACATCCATCTGGACCTAGCAGATAACCTTGGTGTCCAGTTCAGGGCAGGCCTGCATTCCCACGGACCTGTGGCTACAGATAAAAGCTCCTTTCCTCTCATTGCCACCCCCAAACATCTAACAATAACCCTACACCCAAGGTGTGGGGAACACTCACGCTTCTCTGAGTGCTGAGTGTGCAGAGTGCAGGCTGGCTCCTGGAACATGGAGCTGTCATGGCCTAGGTAGCCTGTGCAGGATGGCCGCAAGTACTTGTCAGGCCCCGGACCTATGAGAACAGACAGAGCAATGCTCACTCTGGGCCCACCA